GGATGCTATTGAATGCGATTTGAGGACAGCTGATGTGAGCGTAGAAGATGTGGGAGATCGTGTCAAGTGGAAGCTTAGGATAAGGGTGGCCGACCCCAAGTAATTGGGATTAAGTCGAGGAAGAAGTTAAAATTAATAAGGAAATTTAATTATATGTTAAAAAAAAACATGTTTAAACAAATTATTGTAACAAGCATAATAATATGTTGTTATTTTAATAATATATAATAACATATAACAATAAAACCCAGCACAGGGGGGTCGCGGCACAGTTGTGACGTGGTATAGTTGGATCAAGTATAATGATATCTGACAGTGATTAAAATCACTATCAAAAATAAACGCTTCGATGCAAATCTTTAGATAGTGTTTAATTTNAATTCTCGATTTTATTATTTATATTATATTTAACTTTATAATGCTATAACTTATTGAAAAGTTTATGGATCTACACAATTTTTTTATGACAAATAATATTTTTTAATAAACCCTGTTTCATTTACCATACTTTATCTTTATCGAGATATTAATAAGGAACCAGCAGATCAAGTAGCTTTTGGAATAAAACACCAATTTTTTTAAAATTAAACACTATCTAAAGATTTGCATCGAAGCGTTTATTTTTGATAGTGATTTTAATCACTGTCAGATATCATTTACTTGATCCAACTATGCCACGTCACCACTGTGCCGCGACCCCCCTGTGCTGGGTTTTTTTTAGAAATGATTTATATAGCAACATTATATATTATATAATATATTATTATTATGAAAATCTGTACTCCCCTTGTCAGGTATTTTAAAATAAAATAAAATACAAAACCCAGAATTTTACACACAAAAATAGCATATTTTTGAATACGGTAGTCATTTTTACCACGAAGACAAGTCCAGAGGTCAAATTTTTTTTTTTCCACAATAAAGTATATTACATTATCTTCAATTTAAGATATATATAAAAGTGTCAGACTTTCCGGAACACTTTCAAAAATTAAGTTGAATAAGTTCTACATTCTATATGCATTTTGTAGATTTGAAGTCCCCCCGTATATAGGGAAATGGTCCTATTTAAAAAAAAAGTATGTCAAATGAATGATGTATATAAATACTACTTTTCATGAATAAATTGTATTGATCCCTACACTTTTTAAAAAGTTATAGCATTTTAAAGCAAAAAATTAAAAATATAAAATACAGGTTAAGTGTTAGATTTACAAACAAAATATACCAAATGATAGGTAAAGACATCAAGCATCTTATGCTTTTTTATAGTTATATTGAAACGTTTCGTACTCATTGCAGAGTCCACCTTCAGAGTGATGGTTGCTAGTCAGTAGCTGTAACTATACTGGTGGCTTATTTTGATAACAGTCTGCTTTTATAAAATTAATAACATCTGGTTTTTGACTAACGTTGTTGACCACATCGGGTTTTTACTAACGTTGTTAATATAATTTCGGTTTTTGACTAACGTTGTTTACGGTATTCTTGTCATTTAGGTCTTTCTTTCCTACACAGCCAATTATTTGTTATGTTGATTGTAGCCTCTTCGTATATTGAATTAATGTCGACGTTGTTGGTTGGTTGTTCTTTTTGTCTGGTGTGTGATAGGTAACAAAAAAAAAAAAAAAAAAAAACATCATAGTAAAACCAATACCTTCTCAGCTTCGCATCGAAGCTAAAATTGGTGGATTATTCCAAAAGCTACTTGATCTGCTAGTTTCTTATTAATATCCTGATTAAGATAAAGTATGTCGAATGAAAGAAGGATTATTAAAAAATATTATTTGTCATAAACAAATTGTGTTGATTCATACACTTTTCAATAGGTTATAATGATAAAAATGTAAAAACTAAAATCAAGAATTTTCACACAAAAATAGCATTCGGCAGCCATTTTCACCACGTAGATAAGTTCAGAGGTCAAATTTTTTTTTTCCATAATAAAGTATATTACATTATCTTCAATTTAAGATATATATAAAAGTGTCAGACTTTCCGGAACACTTTCAAAAGTTAAGTGTAAAAGTAAATTTTTTGTGTAAAAGTTGTCATTTTAAATCCTCCCCTGTGGGCAGGTAAAGGAATAAATTTATGAAAAAAATATATCTAATGATAGGTAAAGACATCAAGCATCTATATAAAAAAAAAATTTTCTGATCTATACATTTTCCAAAAAGTTATAGCATTATTAAGTTAAAAATATAAAAAAGAATTATTTTACAAAAATCGTAATTTTTAATTAACTTTGATGTCTATTTTCATAATTCAAGAGAAATTAACTATCATTTTTTAGCTTCGATGCGAAGCTGAGAAGGTATTGGTTTTACTATGATGTGTTTTTTTTTTTTTTTTTTTTTTTTTTTTTTTGTGTCTGTTACCACTTTTTCTCAGCTCTCACCGAACGGATTTCTTTCAACGATACGTCAAAAGATCACAAATCGTATCTAGTCGAAGACATTACCCTTCAAAATTGAAAAAATTTCCCTCGTTCCCCGTAAATGGGGGAAACCTCCAAAAAAATTACAAATTTAAAAATCGCTAATTTTCGAAATTTTTTCAATTTTTTTTACTAAAAACTGCCGTAACTTTTTCAAAAATGAACATATCAATATAATTTTTTTTTATATAGATGCTTGATGTCTTTACCTATCATTTGGTATATTTTTTTTGTAAATCTGACACTTAACCTGCCCACAGGGGGGGATTTAAAATGACAACTTTTTCACAAAAAATTAACTTTTTCAACTTAACTTTTGAAAATGTTCCGGAAGGTCTGACACTTTTATATATATCTTAAATTAAAGCTTATGTAATATACTTTAATTTTAAAAAAAAAAATTTGACCTCTGGACTTGTCTTCACGTCGAAAATGGCTACGGNAAAATTTGACCTCTGGACTTGTCTTCACGGCGAAAATGGCTACCGAATGCTTTTTTCGTGTGAAAATTCTCGATTTTATTATTTATATTATATTTAACTTTATAATGCTATAACTTATTGAAAAGTTTATGGATCTACACAATTTTTTTATGACAAATAATATTTTTTAATAAACCCTGTTTCATTTACCATACTTTATCTTTATCGAGATATTAATAAGGAACCAGCAGATCAAGTAGCTTTTGGAATAAAACACCAATTTTTTTAAAATTAAACACTATCTAAAGATTTGCATCGAAGCGTTTATTTTTGATAGTGATTTTAATCACTGTCAGATATCATTTACTTGATCCAACTATGCCACGTCACCACTGTGCCGCGACCCCCCTGTGCTGGGTTTTTTTTAGAAATGATTTATATAGCAACATTATATATTATATAATATATTATTATTATGAAAATCTGTACTCCCCTTGTCAGGTATTTTAAAATAAAATAAAATACAAAACCCAGAATTTTACACACAAAAATAGCATATTTTTGAATACGGTAGTCATTTTTACCACGAAGACAAGTCCAGAGGTCAAATTTTTTTTTTTCCACAATAAAGTATATTACATTATCTTCAATTTAAGATATATATAAAAGTGTCAGACTTTCCGGAACACTTTCAAAAATTAAGTTGAATAAGTTCTACATTCTATATGCATTTTGTAGATTTGAAGTCCCCCCGTATATAGGGAAATGGTCCTATTTAAAAAAAAAGTATGTCAAATGAATGATGTATATAAATACTACTTTTCATGAATAAATTGTATTGATCCCTACACTTTTTAAAAAGTTATAGCATTTTAAAGCAAAAAATTAAAAATATAAAATACAGGTTAAGTGTTAGATTTACAAACAAAATATACCAAATGATAGGTAAAGACATCAAGCATCTTATGCTTTTTTATAGTTATATTGAAACGTTTCGTACTCATTGCAGAGTCCACCTTCAGAGTGATGGTTGCTAGTCAGTAGCTGTAACTATACTGGTGGCTTATTTTGATAACAGTCTGCTTTTATAAAATTAATAACATCTGGTTTTTGACTAACGTTGTTGACCACATCGGGTTTTTACTAACGTTGTTAATATAATTTCGGTTTTTGACTAACGTTGTTTACGGTATTCTTGTCATTTAGGTCTTTCTTTCCTACACAGCCAATTATTTGTTATGTTGATTGTAGCCTCTTCGTATATTGAATTAATGTCGACGTTGTTGGTTGGTTGTTCTTTTTGTCTGGTGTGTGATAGGTAACCAAGTTTTGCTGATTTTCTATCCATCTTCTCTGTTGAAATTTTTCGAATTTTATTGCTTCCTTGTACATCCGTTTGCCAAAATAAGTTTCTTTGTTTAGTATTTTTACTTTATCGAATTGTATGTCATGTCCTCTGTTTTTGGCATGTTCGGCTACTGCAGATTTTTCTGTTCTTTGGTACTCCATGTATTTTTCGTGTTCTTTTATTCTTGTTGCAATAGCTCTGCCTGTTTGTCCAAAATAAGATTTACCACATGAACACGGTATTTCATATACTCCTGGTATTTTACATCTCTGGCAGTTTATCTTTCGGGTTTCGGAGTAGTGATCCTGCAACTTTGTTTGGTTGGAAGACTGTTCTTAATTTGAATTTTTGTCCAATTCTTGAAATGCGATCGGTAATTTCCTGTTTGTACAGCAGTAAAAATCTTGTTTTAAGACCCAACTTAAGTATTTCTGTTTCTTTATCAGAAACTGCTGAGGTTTTATTAAAATTATCCATGTATTTCTTTAATCTAATAGTTAAGAAACCAATATTTTGAACTATTTAACCAAGTAACATACAAGGATATAACAAATATATCAAGCTTAATACAACCAAAAAATACACCAAACTCAGTAGCATAAAAATATGGTAATGAAATGGGAAAACCCTAACCTAAGAATAAATGAAGAAATAATCGTTAATAGTTTACGTATAAGACATACCAGACTCACACAAGGATTCTTCATGTTCAAAAGGGACCCACTCCACAATGTCTAACATGTAGCATAACACTTACACATAAACACATATTACATATAAATATGTGCTTAATATGGTTTGGTAGCATGGATATTTTACAGAATGCTTCAATTAACAAATCAACCGACTTCAACTTAATATCCTCGACAACCTCAATATCTCACTAAGACCTAATCCATAAAAATACAAAAAAGTTCTTACATTTTTTTAACAAAAAAAAAAAGCTGTATTGTAAGATAATTTGTAAATAATTGTAATCCCTCTAATGCAAATTTATCTACATATTCTTTTATTTATAAGCAAAATTCATAATAGATTGTAGCTATTGACTATAGCAGACTGAGTTTTTAGATCAATAATAAAAAAACAAAACAATATTTTATGAAATATATATAATATAATACATACCAAACATTGCATTAATACAATTATCACGAATTTCCTTATTTTGAAAATTTTTTTTTACTAGGACTTCTATTAATGTTGAATGAATTTGGGCCTCAACACTGTTTTCTTCTTCTTCAAATCTATTTAAATTTCTATTCATCTGAATTTTTTTTTTTAAAATTAGATTGTCAGTATAATTTTGTAAAATACGCATACTTTCATCATGTTTTTTTTTCCATGGAGAAATACAAAATGTTAGTGAAGATGAAAACCATGGATTTAGAATTCTATGAATCAAAGCCTAAAAAATATATTGTAATTAGTTTATATTTATGTAATAAAACATTGCTTGTTTCTAGTAATTAAATACAATTTACCCAATTGTGAAAAAATTTAGAAAACATTATAATGAAAACATTTTATGCTAATCTTATATTATTCTCTGTTCTCTAACAACTATTTATTTACTAACTATAATAAGGAACTGTAAACAATTATTTTTATCATTTAAAAAAAAATTTATCCCAACACCTTTGCTTCAATGGGAAAATGACTGTCGAATTTAACGAAAAATGTAATTTTTATGTAAAAATCGCTGTTTAATATGAAATATTTTAATACTTAAAACTGCCATAACTTATAAAAAATTTAAAACAATTCTATTTATAGTGTAACTATACATATTTTTCTTTCATTTGATATAAAATTTTTGAAAATTTGACACTTGACCTGGCCACAGAGAAGAATTAAAAAATCAATTTTTGCACATAAGTTATACTTTTTCAACTTAATTTTTGAAAATGATCCGGAAATATTGAGACTTTTATTTAATCTCTAAAACTTAAGCTTATGTAATATACTTTACTATAAAAAAAAAATGTCGAGATATAATAAATATAAAGATAATACTTTAGCTCCGATGCGAAGCAGAGAAGATATTAATTTTACTATGATGTGTTTTTTTTTTGTATCTGTATACGCTCTCGCTAAATCTCTCTCTGGACCGATTTTGATGAAAAATATGTCAAAAGATCACAAATCGTATCTAGTCGAAGACATTACCCTCAAAATTTGAAAAAAAATCCCTCGTTCCCCGTAAACGAGGGAAATTCCCCAAAAAGTTACAAATTTAAAAATCGTTAATTTTCGAAATTTTTTCTAAAAACTGCCATAACTCTTTTAAAAATGAACATATCAATATATATTTTTTTTATAGGTGTTTGATGTCTTTTTCAATCATATTTTTTTCATAAATTTATTCCTTTACCTGCCCACAGGGGGAGATTTAAAAGGACAACTTTTTCACAAAAAAATAATTTTACACTTGACTTTTGAAAATGTTCTGGAAGGTCTGACACTTTTATATATATCTTAAATTGAAGATAATGTATTATATGTAATATATAATGTATTATTATGGAAAAAAAAAATTTGACCTCTAGACTTGTCTTCGTGGTAAAAATGACTACCGTATTCAAAAATATGCTATTTTTGTGTGTAAAATTCTGGGTTTTGTATTTTATTTTATTTTAAAATACCTGACAAGGGGAGTACAGATTTTCATAAATATTATAGAAATAATATATTATATAATATATAATAGGGCTATATAAATCATTTCTAAAGAAACCCACCACAGAGGGGTCGTTGCACAGTGGTGACGTGGCATAGTTGGATCAAGTATAATGATATCTAACAGTGATTAAAATCACTATCAAAAAAAAACGCTTCGATGCAAATCTTTAGATAGTGTTTAATTTTAAAAATTTGGATATTATTCCAAAAGCTAAACGATCTGCTATTTTCTTATTAATATCCTGAATGAAAAAGGGTTTATTTAAAAATATTGTTTCTAATAAAAAATTATGTTGATCCATACACTTTTCAATAAGTTATATCATTATAAAGTTAAAAATGTAAAAAATAAAATCGAGAATTTTCACACAATAATAGCATTCGGTAGCCAATTTCTCCCTGAAGATAAAATAAAGTCCGATATTTTTATTTTGCATAATGAAGTACATTACATTAGCTTTAATTTAATATATATATAAAAGTGTCAGACTTTTCGGAACATTTTCAAAAGTTAAGATGTAAAAGTTATTTTTTTGTAAAAATGTTGTCATTTAAATCCCCCCTGTGGGTAGTTCAAGGGTCACATATAAAAAAAAAATATACCAAATGAAAGGTAATGATATCATGCATCTATAAAAAAAAAACTATATTGATATGTTCATTTTTAAAAAAGTTACGGCAGTTTTTAGTAAAAAATTTCGAAAATTAGCGATTTTTAAATTTGTAATTTTTTTGGAGGTTTCCCTCATTTACGGTGAACGAGGGTTTTTTTTCAATTTTTGAAGGTAATGTCTTCGACTAGATACGATTTGTGATCTTTTGACGTATAATTGAAAGAAATCGGATCGGTGAGAGCTGAGAAAAAGTGGTAACAGACACAAAAAAAACACATCTTAGTAAAACCAATAACTTCCCCGCTTCGCATCGAAGCTAAAAAATGATAGTTAATTTCTCTTGAATTAACAATGGATTTTTACATATATAATCAAATTTTATAATACGCACAATTCAGTAAATCTTTTTAACAACTTTGTTTTGATTGGTTCATTTAGTTAAAGTAAATCATTAAAATTAATTAAGTTCTGAATATTTCAATAGTAGAATCTTTTTAAACACCAAAAGTTACTAGGTAGTTAGTACTATTATTTATATTTCAGTTATCTATAACGATAAAAATGCAAAAAATAATAAAAAAAAATTCATATAAATATCAATAAAAAAATATTGAGATACTCTGATAAATTTACTATAAATAGTAGTAATTATAAAACTTTCTAACTGCATATTAATCTTAACGGTACAATTTTTTTAATTTTCATAAAATTTTCTATTTAATGATATCAATTTTAAACTTACCAATTGATCTAAAATTTATGGTAAAATAAATTAATTTTTTTTATTATAAAAATTCACAAAAATCAACTTTAAACGATTAAAAAAATAGATTAAATATGTAATTTTCTTTATTTTAACATATTAATAATCAAAGTCAGTATTATTATAAAACAATTTTTTTTGTTTTTAATTATTTTTTTTTTATATGTAAATACTTATTTTTTAATAATAAGTAATAATATTAAAACTTAGAAGTAATAGAAAAAGTTTAATTGCACATTTGAAAATATCGCGAAAAGTTGATTGAGAAAAGTATGCTTTTGTTTCTGATGAAAGTTTCCTTTAGTTTAGTGTATTTTATTCATAAATAACAAAATTTTTTTATTAAAAAGTATTACATCAATCCTTTTAAATTTTTATACGCATTAAAAGTATATGTATATATAACTCTTTTTTATAATATCTCCATAAAAATTACAATGTTATATTATTGAATATCAATTTCATACTAAATTTAATTACTGTAATTATTATGTATTCATATATTATAATTATAAATCGGGATAAAATTAAGGGAATAACTATTATTGTTGTTTTTGAAATAATCTACCAATTTCATAAAATTAAACACTATTTACAGATTTGTATCGAAGCGTTTCTTATGATAGTGATTTTAATCACTGTCAGATATCATCTATAGTTGTCCCAACTATGTCACGTCCATACTGTGCCGCGCCGCGACCCCACTGTGCTACCGTTTTATTTTATTTTTTAATTTAAAAAAAATACCCTCAATATATTATGAGAATAAAATATTTGTCGCTAAAACATATTCTGAGAATATTTTAAAATATTTTGGTTATATTCTAGAAATATTTGCTATGTGGGATTTTTAATTATCTCAAAACTTTTAACAACCTACTATTTCATTTTTTTTTTTTTTTTTGTCATATTATGAGAAGAGAAAAATCGGAAGTTATAAGAATGGTTATAAAAATAAACATTAAAGGAAGAAGAGGTAGAGTAAGACCGGAAATTGTGTAGTAAGGTGCAATTGAAAATGATATGAAGACTGCTGGTGTATGTATAACGTTATTAATTGCGTCAAGTGGAAGTTTAGGATAACCAATATCAACTATTAGGGAAAACTCTACTATTTCATATTCTACATCTCAGTATCCTATACAGCATTTATAAAATTGTAATATTTTATAAATATTTTTTTATGATAAAAAAATAATAATAAGAATAATCTAAACAACAATGAATATAACTTATCATTGCAGATCATTTGTCAGATTTCTTAACTATTACCATGATAAGTTTTTTTATCCGTCAGTAAAACTATTTAGCTCTTACTAGACTGATTTTGATTATTTATACTTAAAAAAAACCAAATTTAATCTAATAAACCTATTAGTATTTAAAATAAAATAAATCCCTCTCAGTTATAAAGATTTAAAAATTAATTAAAATTACACAACCATAAAAAAGTTAAATTTTAGCATTTTAAGTGTGTTAATTTTAAAATAATGTTCAAAACCGAAAACTACCCTTTTGAGTGAATTTTCAACCCTAACTCAGTATCTGAAATAAAAATTTATCAAAAACAAATTTTTCCCAAATTACTTTCATATAATAACGAAAAAAAATTACGAGTACGGAGAACGATCATTGAAAGATTATAAAATAACTTCTTTATTTGATACATTCTATAAAATGATAATGTTAATGTTATTGTTGTATAGTATTTTTTAAATTCGGTTAATTTTTAATTTGATACCCTTTTTGCAGATTTGTAATAAATACTAGAATTATAAATAATAAGCTGATAATACAAATCATTTGTCTCGCACTTAATATCTTTGCATTTTTTTTTCTTTAAAAACGTTAAAATTTTTTTTTCAAAATTTTGAGTTTCTAGCCAAAAAATATTAATAAAATGAAAAAATATTATTAACTATCATTAAAATTAATATGATGAGAGGAAAATGTAATAGGTATCATATAATTTTTCCAAATGTAGATTTTTTTAATTTTAAATTTTTTAATGCTATAAAAATTAATACAACTAAAAAAACTTGATTTTTTAGTTTATTATGAAACATTAAATATAATGTAATAATATTATTTTATTTAATAATCTTTTATGACTATCTAAAAACATTAGGTACATTTGTCAATATATTTTCGATGATGATACAAATTTTACTTTTGATTGAAATACATTGTACTGATAATTTATAATTAAAATTTTTTTAAAATATTTTAACGATGAGGCGAATCAATAAAAAGTGAATTGGAATAATCAAATGAATTGATCAAATAACATTTTTTAAAAATTATGAATTATATACATATTTGTTTTCTATATATATTCATGGAGAAAAGTATTCTTTCAAAACAAAATTTGGTTCAGAAACTAAATAAGTCACATTGTATATTCATAGTATACTGAAAATTATGTAAAATAAAACATACTACCTTTTTTAAAATTTCTGCATTTTTAAAAAATATATGTCCAGATTTAGATTGTGAATTAAAATTTTCTCCTAATGTTGTTCGTCCAAAAATATCCAATACAGCAAAACTAACTAATACACTTATTTCACAATCATGTGATTCAACACTCCGTTTTTCTAATAGTTTTTTACTTAAAATTATAGCTTCCTCGTAAAATATCGGTATAAATGATTTGAATATTGATATTTTAAGAGCTTCAAATGCAACTTTTCTATAAAAGAAAATTAGGTTTAAATGCACTTCCAAAATAGATATTTTTATATTAATATAAAGCATAAGTGTAAATTGGAGAGCTTAGTGAACAAAGGGTTTAAACCTAAGAATAATTTAAGGAATTCTAGATGAAAATTTGAAGTTAAGCTATGGTTATGTTTAACTAAATAAAAAAAAATTGTAGCAAAAATTTATTCTAAAACCATTATTTAAAAAGTTGAACCTATAAGTTTATAGGTTAAGTTTTCTTAAACACAGTTAAGAACCAGAATCCTGATGATTTTAGAAGTGAGATCAATAAAAAATTAGAAAAAGCTATTTACTATTACGTTATAATTATATATAGAGGTGATTTTTTTATCATAACCCACTCAATTACTTACAAAGTAATAATAATTTAAGCATTTTTTTTTTTTTGGTTTTCTTTAGTTACACATTATTCTTGAATTATTAACTATTTAAAACATTTTATGTTCATCCCTTATGCCTTGTAAGGGTGTCAACTTTGTTTTTTAAATGGGAACACATATTTTGAATTTAATAAAATGTTTGGATTTTTAACTCAATAGTAAATGGTATTTGAACTATTTATATAACTATTCATTTATTAGATATAAACATTTAAAGTTTCAAATTTTTATGTTAATATTCATGTATAATACACAAGAGATTACAAATACAGGTAGCTAATTGATTTTTATGACATCGATATTAGCAGGTACACAGCATTGTTATTATCAATGATAGTAAGGTACATTGTTGCGAGTTTATAAATACACTAACGGACAATACAGAAAGTGTATACAGTGTTCTCATTGTTTGTAACAATTAGAAAAATAGAAACCCGTTTCCTGGCTTACTGAACACCCTGTATATTGGTAGTCATAATTGATAATAAACAATCCGTGACTGTGACAGCAATGTCATAATAATCCAATTAGCTATCTGTATTTATAATGTGTATTATTAATGTATATTAACTCAAAAATTTGAAAATTTAAACATTTATATCTAATAAATGAATAAAGTTATATAAAAAATTCAAATACCATTTACTATTGAGTTAAAAATCCAAACATTTTATTAAATTCAAAATATGTGTTCCCATTTAAAAAAACAAAGTTGACACCCTTACAAGGCATAAGGGATGAACATAAAATGTTTTAAATAGTTAATAATTCAAGAATAATGTGTAACTAAAGAAAATCAAAAAAAAAATGTTTAAATTATGTTTATTCTGCTAGTAATTGAGTGAGTTATGATAAAAAATCATCCTATATATATTATAGAAATATCATTTTAAATTATTTATGATATATAAATTTAAAAATATCAATTAATTATTAGGTTTTTATTTCCACACAAATATTTCTTTGTCAAAATTTAAAAAATATTAATAATAATGTTTTATTAAATTATTTTTTAATTATTATAATAGCATTTTTACGTATTAATAATTGTATCATAAGATAATATTATAAATTTTTTCAACACTATGAGGCATGTATCCTTTTTGAACAAAAAAAGGTTTTTATTGTGTATCTGTCGTAAAAAATGACAGAAATCTTAAAAATAGATTATTTCAGTGAATTATATGAAATTGTATACGATTATATATTTCCATTACTTAACCATTAAAACTATAAAAGCATATGTCAATTAAACAAAAATTTTTGCTACATATACATTTATAGAACTTATTAATAAAAAATAATACCTTACTGTTTTCCATTGTTCTAAATTATTCATAACAAATAATCCTTCTCCAAATACTGAATCTTTTAGTGATTTATACTCCCTTGCTTTTTTAAACGTTTCTTGTTTAGTCAAAATTTGTTCTATTTCATCGGGATCACAAACATTTACGTATAAATGATCCAAAATCCAGCCTTTGGTAGTTTGAAAATTTCTTCTGTAAAATAAATCGGTCATTAATTATTTTATTCTCAGTTTTTATTTTTTATTATTTAAATAAATAATAATTCAATAAGAACTTAAGGATCTCATTTTCCGAGATATTACTTTTATCTTAATTTAACGAGAGAAATGTAAAATAATGGTTTAATTGTTATTTATTTATTCATTTAAAATTATTTATATAATTTCAATACAATATGTACAGAATGATTGTTTTTCCATTGACCAATAATTATATCCTAAAAAAATATTGACATTGAAATTTTTTTTTCTATTTTGGTCAGTATCATGTACTTTTTGATTAATAAATGGTAAAACATGTCAGTTTTATCTCTTATAAAGGTACTAACTTAATATTTTTAAATGATGACATACATATTTTAATATATTAAATATGAGAAAATTAACTAAGAATTTTATAATATAATAATTAATATATTTAATTTTTTATATTAATTTTGGAACCAATATTTGTTGAAGTTATTTTCATTTTTAACACGCTTAATTAGTTTCACCTGTATGAATGTATGTATATATGTTAGTAACTTTTCACTCGACACGCGTTATCGCATATTCCGTCATCTATGGACTTGAGACTAGACTGACATAAAGCATTCTCCCCACCCCACGCCTCGCTCACCACACGATGACAACACTATTCCTATAAAAATTTATTTTTAGTTATCGCACCCGTACACGCGTGCTTGTCATCAATATTATATATATATAAACAAATTTTTATTTTGACTGACCAATACCATACGCGTGTCATAGGCTTACGTATATATTCCTACCGCCGTTTATACCTCAAGTATAACATTAGTCCGACCCGCCCACCCTCAAAACTCGGCTATACCTAGTGCATGATACGTTTACATACTTAAGTAGCTTTACTTGTATATATAATATATATATTATATTCTAATTACTATTAAAATTTATATATTAACACGCTTTATTCTAATTAAGATATATAAAGTCGCAAGTGGGCTTTTACATTGGCCTGTAACAACAACGTGGTTTGCCACTTGCATAACGACTAGCTATAGTAGCAAGGGTCGCCACCACCTAGGCGAGGTGTCACATCTATTAGATATGATTACCGGACCATAGGAGAAATTTAATTATAAGTTAATTAAAAGTATAATCTAAGTTAATATGTCGTTATAAGTATAAATTACTATAATACCTCATGGTTTATTAAACACAATTATGACAATCAAAGTTGTATGTGGTTGATATGTAAAACATACCGTAGCCAGTGTCTAGATTAAGGAATAATGATAAAATACACGCGAGTAATTAAGTTACTCGCACAATAAAATAAATATTACAATTGAAGTTAATAAGGAAATTTAATTTAATTGTTTAACAAAAAAGAAAAATAAGTTAAACATGGGCAAAAATGCGAATGCATCAAAAACCATGTCTACAAATAAAGGAAATACAAATAAAATATTTAAACAAAACAAATAAATAATATTACAAACATCACGGACGGTATTGGAACACATCCGTTAATGTTAATCGGAAATTAATGAAGAACACCAGGAGCGGTCTGGACACTCGCTCCTTAGCGTTGGCTAGAAGAAAATGGAAACACGTGCTCTCCACACATAAACAAAATTAAGTTAATTTACGATAAAATAAAAATGAAATAAAAATAATTAATAAAATATAGCTTATTATATAAATATAATATACAAAAGAAAAACGATACCTGGTCTCCGAAGAGACCATCCGATGGGCTGGATGCTTCGTCGAAAAAAGACCTGGCCGTTCGCTGTTGTCTGCTCTACTCCACCATTGAAAAAAGAATGTCAATAAAACAATAAACGTGTGCACCCTAGCACGGTCAATGACAGAAGAAAGAATAGAGAAGAGTCAACACCGATCAACGGCAATTTCAAATCGATAACGGCCAGTCTTTTTGGAAGGGATCAATACTGATTAACAATTCGATTTTAATTATATTTCTCTTTTATCGCCTTATCTAGCGGTCAGCGGCAAAATAATGAGTGGTTGAGTCAGTGGCTGTGTCAGAAAAAGGTTCTTTCACGCGATAAAATAAATAAGTAGACAAAACAAAAAATCATAAACGGTCCACCTTCGAATTTGTGACGTTAATAAGTATTCATTCCGATTACGAGGGATGATTTCCGTATCGTCTTTTTCATCACTACCTCCACGTTCCGGGAATGAGTAATTTGCGCGGCTGCTGCTTTCCTTGGATGTGGCAGCCGTTTCTCAGACTCCCTCCCTGGAATCGAACCCTGATTTCCCGTTACCCGTTACAACCATGATATTGATAGTAACTACTATCATAACATGAAACTAAAAAGTGAAAAATAAATATAGTTAAAAAAAACTAAAAAACACGCTTTTAAAACTCATCGAACCAAAAAGTTAAAAATAATTTTTAAAATAATTATGAACAAAAAATACTAGTATAATTGTAATAAAAGCGTGGGTGCTTTGTGCCATATTTTTCGTATATTGAGCGCCCGATATTTTTATCACAATAATACTAGTATTTTTTGTTCATAATTATTTTAAACTTATTTAAAAAATTATTTTTAACTTTTTAGTTCGATGTGCTTTAAAAGCGTGTTTTTTTAGTTTTTTTTTAACTATATTTATTAAACATAGACTAGAAGTAAGTTTAGTGCAAGTTATTTTTACCACTACACCTTATTCTGCCGCACTTATCCTATCATGATATAAAAATGTTTATAACTTCTGAAACACTGGTTAAAAACCGATGTTATCGAACAGTCATTTTAGCTTCGATGCGAAGCTGAGAAGGTATTAATTTTACCATGACGTGTTTATTTTTTTTAGCTTCGATGCGAAGCTGAGAAGGTATTAATTTTACCATGATGTGTTTTTTTTTTTATTTTTTTTTTAACAATACGTCAAAAGATCACAAATTGTATCTAGTTGAAGACATTACCCTTAAAAATTTAAAAATTTTCCCTCGTTCCCCGCAAATGGGGGAAATATCCAAAAAAATTACAAATTTAAAAATCGACAAATTTTGTCATTTTTTTCACTTTTTTTTCTTAAAACTTCCATAACTTTTTCAAAAATCAACAAATCAACATAATTTTTTTTTAAACTAAAACCTTAGATATTTTCCTTTCATTTGATATAATTTTTTTGAAAATTTAACACTTAACCTGCTCATGGGGGGGGATTTAAAATTGCAACTTTTTTACAAAAACTAACTTTTTCAACTTAATTTTTGAAAATGTTCCGGAAATACTGCGTCCTTTAAACATATATCAAATTAAAGCTTATTTTATGTACTACTAAATGAAAAAAAAAAATTTGTCCCGACGACCTATCTTCTATGCGCAAAAGGCTACCGTATTTAAAAATATGCTATTTTTTATTAAAATTCTAGGTTTTGTATTTTATTTTATTTTAAAATATTTTATTAGGGGAATAAACTGACTTTCATGAATATTATATAATTTCATTGACATAGAATAAAGTTCATAAGACATATGATATTATACTTATTAACATTTTTTACTTTTTTAAAGTCGAAAAAGTAATTTTTAAATTTGAGTTAGCTTAAATAGCCAATTTTATCATGCAACAAAAATCAACGAATAGTTGCCGAATGGGTAACACCTTGATCTTTAACGCCTAGGGTACGAGGTTCAAATCCGTTTGTGGCTTCTAAAATTTTGCATTTTTTTTTTGAGTTAGAATAGAATTTTCAAATCATTTGATATTTATCTCATTTAGATTCAATAATTTCAATAAATATAAAGGATCTTATCACTATAGTCTCCCCTCGTGAGAAGAAATTGATATTCATGTTAATATTATTTTACTATGTGGTTCTTTTTCTGGCTACGATTTATTTTGCCAACCCTCACTAGACCTACTTTTTTCAACGATACGTCAAATGATTCATTTAAGTTTATGATATTTAAGTTAATGATTAGTTTAAGTTATTACTCTTAAAAATCAAAAAAATATTCCTTATTCAAATAAAAAGTAGCTTAACTAGATTTGTCCATACAAACAATTAAAATCATTAATTTTTAATATTCTTAAATTATTTATTGTCGAATTAGATTTGATATGATAAAAGTATTCAACTACAAAAGTAAATAATTTTACTTTATAATTTATTAATTTTTTAATTCTATTTATGTATGCTACCACACATATATACCAGTCTATAATATGCCAAATTTTTTAGTAATATGTTGCTATATAAATCATAAATTTAAAAAAAAAATGATTTTTAGTTTCACCTGAAGTTAACGATGGAGTTTTACAATTATAATTATATTTTTGATAATATGCTCAATTGAGTAAATCTTTTTAACTACTTTGGTTTGATTGGTTCATTTAATTAAAGTAAATTATTAAAATTAATTAAGTTCTGAATATTTCAATTGCAGAATTTTTTTAAACACCAAAAGTTATTAGGATATGATTACTATTCTTTCTATTTCAGTTATCTATTACGATAAAAATGTAAAAAAATCGAATTTTTCTGACAAATGTACTGTAATTAGTAATTATAAAATTTCCAGATTGCATATTAATCTTAAAAATTTCATTTTTTTCAATTTAATAATGTCAATTTCAAACTTGCAAGTTGAACTATAAGTTATGGTAACAAATTCATTTTTTAGCTTCGATGCGAAGCTGAGAAGATATTTTTCATTAAAACTTTCACTTTAAAAGACAATAAAAAATAGGTTCAACATTAATTTTTACAATTTTTTTTGTTCTTAATTATTTTTTTTTATATGTAAATACTTATTTTTTAATAATAAGTAATAATATTAAAACTTATTGATGAAAGTTCCTTTTGTTTAGTGTATTTATTCATAAATAACAAAATTTTTTTATTAAAAAGTATTGCATCAATTCCTTTTTATTATTTTTATAATATCTCCGTAAAAATTACAATATTATATTATTGAATACCACTTTCATACTCAATTTAATTACTGTAATTATTATGTATTCATATATTATAATTATAAATCGGGGTAAAATTAAGGGAATAAGTGTTATTGTTGTTTTTGAAATAATCTACCAATTTCATTTTTTTCTATTTAATAATATCTATTTCANCGATTTCATTTTTTTCTATTTAATGATATCTATTTCAAACTTGCAAGTTTAGTTAAAAGTTATGGTAATAAATTCATTTTTTTTTTTATTAAAACTTTCATTTTAAAGGACAAAAAGAAGTTGGTTCAAAATGATTACTTTTAACATATTAAAAATCGATAATAATTTGAAAATAATTAATTATAAAAATTATATAATATATAATTAAAATAATTACTAATCTGGATATAATTAAGGAAATAGGAGTTGATGTTGGGTTGGGTTGGTTACATTTTTAACTTTATAATGCTACAACTCATTGAAAAGTGTATGAATCAACACAATTTTTTTATGAGAAATAATATTTTTTAATAATCCCTTTTTCATTCGACATACTTTATCTTAATCAGGGTATTAATAAGGAACTAGCAGATCATGCAGCTTTTGTAATTATCCACCAATTTCTTAGAATTAAACACTATCTACTGATTTGCATCGAAGCGTTTCTTATGATAGTGATTTTAATCACTGTCAGAATAAATCTATACTGGACCCAACTATGCAACATCCCCACTATGCCGCGACCCCACTGTGCTGGGTTTTTTTNCCAACTATGCAACGTCCCCACTATGCCGCGACTCCACTGTGCTGGGTTTTTTTTTAGTCTGATCATTTTTTAATATTTAAGCTAGTAAAATAAGTAGGTTTATTTAAAAAAATTAAGTTGACATCCTTATAAGATACAAGGGATGAATAAAAAAATATATGTAACTAAAATAAGCCAAAAAAAATTAACAAAATTATTTTATAGATTACTTAGTCGACTATAAAGAATTGATTATTTTGTATTTTCTCAACAAAAAATTAATCTAGGTAAATTTAGAATTATAACATTAAAGTAATCAATAAATATTAAAAGATTATGTTCAAGAAAACATTATGAAGTTTCTAAAAATACATACTGTTTAGCAATTTTTAGAATTCCTGGCAGAAAATGTTCAGGCCCTTGAATAAACACTTTTAGAAGACTTCCTTTTAAACTGGGTATTTTACTACCCAATATTATCTTACGGCGATTCTTAAATATTTTGATTGAAGCAATAAGCAACACTAATGTTAAAAACAGCACATAAGTATTACCAAAATTTGAAGCTATAATTGTAATACTTTTCTGTAATAATAATTATGAATATAAATATAATAAAATATCTATAATTAGTAACTGAATGATCAAAAAACATATATATTACTTAATAGTTTTATTAAAAATTATACTAAGATTTTTTTTCAATTATGTTCGGATTTTTAAATAATATCATTTCGAAAACTATCAAAACCCATATTCAGACATTCTGTTTCAAAATTTAAACAATCAATAAAAAATACTTTTAAATATTTAAAAAAATGAAAATTTTATAAGTAATAAATATAATCAAAATTATTAAAATCTATTATTAAAAAAACAGATAATTTTTCATACATTTAGTGAAAGTTTTTAACGCACACAATATTAGTACAAAATTTCATTAAATGTAACAAAAAAATTAAATAATTTTTTTATTATAATAAAATAATAATTTCTTAGTATAAAAAGTTTTTTGGTAATTAAATTATTTAGTCCAATCATGTTTCATAAAATCATAATAAAATATGAATTTATTTTTCAATCTCTTCTGTTCTATTCGCACACTTTAAATATTATAACGCATTTATTATTATTCCAATTAGTTGACCAACCCATTACATTTTCAAAAATAAAAGTCACTAAAAATATGTCATTTAAAAATATTGAATAAATAAAAGTAACAATTTTTTTAAGGGATCAAAATACAAAAATTTATTTTTATGTAATCTAAGAATGCAAAAGTTGTTAAAAAATTACTTAGTTAAAACATTCCTAGTATGTTAAAAAATTTTTACTTTAAACTATGAAGTTAATAAAAATGCATTATTTTAAATTTAAAGTTCACATTTGAGTATAAAATTTATGTTAACTAAATTTTAAATATAAATGGTAATTTTTATGGTTTACGTTTACATCTGGCTGAAACATTTAGAATGAAAGATGTACCCCTTTTTAAAAAACTAAATTAAGTATAAAATCGGAGTAAAATTATTAGTTTTGCAGGATAGTAAAAATTTGCAAAATTCACAAAATATCAAGAACATTTTTTTCTATTATATTACATTTAAAACGAAACTTTAAACTCAATTTTCACGAATTAATCTCACTTTAAGTCTCTGCATATAAACACCTCGTATAGTTAATTAAAAAATTAACCAACAGTATTTGTAAATATTTTACCTGGTTTATTGACATTATAAGAGATTTAATGCAAATAAGCTAAAAAAATAAATAAAACTTTTTAAAATTATTTTGCTCCTGTTTAAAAGTCAAACATTGAAGTTTTATATTGCGGTTAACAATTATGTTGTGATAGCTAAAACGTTTTTACCTGTCTTAGGTACTAAAAAACAAACAAGTTTTTTTAATAATTCTCCTATTTATTATATTTTACTCAAGGATACTACATGTAAACATTATAGAGTATACTTTTAAATCATTCTTTAAATTTACTAAATTTTCATGGCCAATTTTTTCTGACGTGTATGAATTAAGGATATTTTGGTCGTAATAACTTTTACTGTGTCATTTTCCTGTGAATGATTGCATTAGTTTGTCGTTCATTATCAAATTTCAACCAATCTTTTGTCTAATTAATTTAAACCTCTTGTGCCTTTTTATGGTGAAATTTACGTAATTTAAAATCAACTAATTTTGATGGTCATTATTATCCAAACAAATAGTTAATGATTCTGATTTGCTATTTATATTTATTCCAAAGTATCACATTGATAAACTACTTGTTTGATTAAAATTACAGAAAATGTGATGAACAATTTAAAATTTCTCTAATCCTCTTAGGATTAAACTAATTAGAAAATAATAATTATTTCCTATTTAAGGCTAATTATTAGGCTTAAATATAAATAAAATAATATCATGTAATTTCAGACGTATATATATTTAGATGATTAGCGTTCACATTAACACATAATGTATTGTTGTTAGATATATAATTTTTTTATGCTTGTAAAGCATTTAAACTTTTTTTAAATTGACGTCAACTAGCGAATTATATACTCATATTAAAACTTTTCATTTTCATTAAATTTTAATAATATTTTCTTTAATACACTTTAATGGCATTTTTACGTCATTTATGAATATTAGCAAGGTATACAATAATGTCTAGCTAACCAAATAACTAGTTACACAAATCAGAAATATTTTATAAGTATAAATTTTAATTTTTTTTAGTGTTCGTTTAATTTTCTATGAATATTTTATATAAAATTTAGTTATAAAAACGAGGTAATGAAAAATATATTTTTATATATTACTATACAATTCTAATATATAAATATAATAATTACGTTCATCAAATTATATTAAATTTATTTAAGAATTATTTTTATTTTATTTTGTTTTAAACATTTATAAATAACAAAAAAAAATTTTTAATTATTTTAAAAATGAAAAAATCATTAATTAAAATAAAATAGACATGTAAATTTTGATACAACTATAACTTCCTGTGCTTTATTTTCACGTAACAGCCATCGACAAAAATTAATAAACCCGCAAAAGCTGTTTGAAGTTTATCTGGTGTAGGACAATTATCAGAAGGAGAAAAATGATAAAATCTGACAAGTGTAGATATAATTGTTTTCATTTGAACCATTGAGTATTTTATACCAGCACAGTTTCTAAAACCTCCACTAAATGGAATAAATGAATAAGGATGACGCTTATGACAGACATCAGGTAAAAAATTATCTGGATTGAATTTTTCTGGGTCTAGGTATAATTGTGGATTTAAATGCACAATAGTTGGTAAAATAGAAACTGTGGAACCTAAAATATTTTGATTTTAATTTGTGTTATTTAATGAAATCACTTAAATAAATCATAAAATAATAATCTTCAAATAATACCTTTTGGGATTATATATTTTCCTATTTTTGTTTGTTTTGAAACTTCTCTTCCTATGTAAGGAATTGGAGGGTATAGTCTTAGAGTTTCTTTAATAATACATTCTAAATATTTCATCTTACATAGATCTTCATAAGATGGAAACTTACATGAATCATCACTGGAATATATTTCATTTAACTCTTCAACCAACTATATAGCATTACCAAGATACAATATAAAAATTTTATTTCGAAAAAAATATTTCTATTTAAGTTGTATATTTAATTTCACTTTACTTTATTTTGTACGTCCTGATGATGAGCCAACATAAACAATGAGCACGCAATCCCTATAGAGGTCGTATCTTGTCCCGCTAAAAAAAATGTTTAATTATGATGATAAAAGATAAATTCTCCATTTTTATCTAGTATATTGAAAAAAAGGACTTATTCGACAGTAAATTCCAAAAAAAAATCTAAACGCGTGAAATATAAAATACGTGGGTATCTTATAGTTTTGATCACTACTGTATTGCCTTTAGAAAATATTAAGTAAATTAAAAGTAATTAAAAAAATTACCAAATATTGCATTTATAACGTTATCTCGAATTTGCTCATAAGATAACATATCATTATTCTCTAATAAGAATTTAATTAATGTTTTATGATTTTTTTCATCGTCATGACTTCCTTCAATATTTTTGATATTTAAGTTATTGTCTAGTATTTGATTTTGTTTAGTCACTAAATCATCGGTAAATTTCTGTATTTTACGTGTGCTTGCATCGTGTTTTTTTTTCCACTTAGACATGCGGAATAATATTGGAGAGATAAACCAGGGATTAAATATTCTATATGACCACACCTAAAATTTAAATTAATTGAATGATTATTATTGAACTCTCCATTGTGTACCAATCTGTTGTCAGGATATTGCGTGTTACATTTTTTATGACTTTTGCATTTTCTAAAAACACGTGTCTTGAATTTTTCTGAGCACTAAAATTTTCTCCTATAGTTGTTCGTCCAAAAATATCCATTGTTGCATTATTGATTGCTTCGCTTATTTCACAATTATAAGAATTAACATCTCGTTTTTTCATTAATATTTGGCCTAAGATCAAAGTTTCTTCAAAAAATATTGGTATAAACAGCTTAACAAACGAAATTTTTAATGCATCTACAGCCTTCTTTCTGAAAAAAAAGTAGTAGATTATTATAATAAAATATTTGTTAGGTTATAAATTTATCTATACGTAAATTTCACCATTTTTATTAGTAAAATTTTATATTAATGATTTTATTTATTTTGAATACACTACGAAAAAAACCTGAAGTACAATTCCTATAAATTTAGAATTCTAATGACCAAACTTGAAATTTTTCATTACTCATATGTAAGGTAAACATAATTAAGGTAGATACTCTAGTATAGTGAGTTACTTGAATATTTCATCATCAAATTACTTAACATTACTTATAATGTTAAGTGATAAAAAAAACAAATTATTTCTACATTGGTCTTATACTTCAATAATAACACAATGTGAGAAATCTGTAATTAAAGTCAGTTGTAGATATTTGTTGTAGGCTAAAAGCTATGAAAGGTTACAAATATATTAATGTATAATTTTATGGACACAACGGAAAATGTACCTTACGTGGCGCCTAACAAAAATAAATGAAATGGGTAAAAAGAAAATAAGATATTAAATAATAAAAATGAAACTTTATGTATTAGGTTCTATTATGAGTCTACACAAAAAAAAATATTCTTATTAATCTTGTATAACTAATTGTTCAAAAAAAATTATACACGTAAAAACATAATTTTGTATCAAATGATCGTTGAGTCGTTCACAGTTGATGTACAACTGACAGTAATTAAAATCACTATCATAAGAAACGTTTCGATGCAAATCTGTAGACAGCGTTTAATTTTAAAAAATTGGTGGAATATTCCAAAGGCAAAAATAACTTTAATTTTTTGTTCTACTTCGACAGCCATTTGGACATAGAAAATAGGTTGTCGGTACAAATTTTTTTTTTGAACTTCTAGTACATAAAATAAGCTTTATTTTAACATATATTTAAAAGACGCAGATTTCCTGGAACATTTTCAAAAGTTAAATTAAAAAGTTCTACTTTTTACCGACAGAAGCACCTAGAATACTCGAGCCTTTGAGAGGGGTTTAAGGTCATTTGAAATGTACAGAAACAATGATAATAAAATTATTTATCACACACAGGACAATTTAATATACAATGATACGTTTAGTGGCGTTCAAAGCATCAGAGAACTTGTAAGAGTGGAGAGTGGTAGTACATAATTTGATATCTGCCAACCTGTTCTTCAATGTAGCATTTATGACACAGATATCGCGCACTAACTCATTACAAATTATCAAACACAAAAATATTAAACGCCATCGCAATTCTATATATATAAGAAATTAAATTAATTTTCTAAACTTGCCAAAAAATTTTATGTAATGTAAAAAAACTTTACATTTTAAAACTTGTTTAAAATAAGAAGCAATACTCAATTAACTATCTGTCTGGCAAATTTCATATCAAAATATGAAAATATGTAATAATATAGAATAATATAGAATAATTTGTCACATTCATACACAGTGTCATAACTCTAGGAGTGATAAGGGGAACTTCAGCACCCACAGATTTAGTACCCACCCTAAATTTTCATACCTATAAATTCAACTAAGAATTTTTATTTAAAAAATGTTTTATCGATTTTTTTTCTTATATTTCATTACGTTTACATTGTATTACTGTTATAACAAATAGAATCGTTATTTTAAGTAGCTCGGTTATAGAGTCATCTTTAAACCGCTATCATTAATGAAGCCATTAAACATTATATCATTATATACCTATCTATATTATAATGATAGGCTGGGGGTGTAGCAATGTGAATCTTACATAACTTAACACCTCTTGGATTTTCGCTCTATTAGTGCCACTTTTTATATTGTGTATATAATTGTATGTAAACAATTTGCGTTTGATTTTTGTAAAAATTAATTTATAAAACTAATAAAAATTAATTAATATTTTTACTGTATATAAATAAATAAAAAATTAGATAAATAAAAAATAATAATTTTAAGAAAATTCATAAATGATTACATTTTTATAAGGCATTTAAAATCAATTTAACCAACATTCCAATGACGATTAATTCCAATGGCAAAATAATAAAGGTTCCATATTAAACAGTAGTGTCTATGTTAATAATGAAATGAGCTTAATATTTTACACAATTACCTGTACTTTCTCCATAAAGTAATATCTTGTTCAGTAAATAATCCATTTCCGAATATAGAATCCTTAATTATTACATAGTCTTTTGATTTTTTGAAAATTTCAGGATTATTCAGGACTTCTTTTATTTCTTCAGGATCAAAAATATAAACGAATAAATGATTTAACATCCATGATTTACAAGTCGAAAATTGAGAACTATCAAACATATTATTTGATTATCTTAAGACACTTATTAATACAATATTCTTATTATACATAACGATAAGATTTTTTGTAGTAGTACAATAAATTGTTTCTATTATTCATAATATGTTATTTCAAATCAATCTATTGGGATCTACTAAAGTACTAAAAAAAAAATTCAATATACATGATTATTTATTTAATTTTTCAAAAACCCCGAAATTATTGAAATTCCTAGCCCTTTTAAATACTTTCAAAACCTTAAAAACTTACGCTTGACCAATTTTCAACATATTGGGAAGATATTTTTCTGGTCCTTCAATATAAACTTGTATTATTCCAAAAAAATGCCCTTTTATACTGGGTATTACATTACCCAGTATTATATTTTTGTAGTTGGTTAATAATTCATATAAAGTTATCACTATCAGTGTTAAAAACACTAAAATATAGGTAGTATTTACCATGGAAGTTATTTCTAACAACATTATCTGCAATTAAATGAAAGTTAGTGTTACTTAAATGGATTAATGTTATAATTAAATAAGTTTATAATTAAATCAAACAATCATAGAACAAAATTTTGTTTTTTTGGTTAAAAATTATTTATTTTCTCGATAGACAATTACTATATTATTTTATTTATTAAATAAAAAATAGCATAATTTTAATCTTTTTATAATTGATCCTTATACTGTATGCTTATTAAATTAATTATCATTATTCAATAATTTATAAAACGTATTTTATGATCTTGTAAAAATTGTTAAACTTGAAAACTTGGATTCATTTCTACACTTGGTATCTAAATATACATATATATATATTTTTATGCGTTTAAATAAAGTTTATAGAACTTTAATTTATAAGTTTATAGAGCATGAGAACCAATCCCTAATGACACACCACAAACTATTGTTTTGTCAACAATTTCAACTGCTAAATGTGCCTAGGTAGATTTTCGAAATGCTCTTATTAAATATTTAAACATTTAAATTAAAAAAATAAGAAAGATTAAGTTATTTTTTTAAATAAGTTTCTAATGAAAGAGTTAGATAAAAAACACCAAGTGTGAATAAGTTTGTTAATCCGAGAGAGCACAATCGCTCTTTTATAGGCCTGTTTTTGAGGGGTAAAATTGATGTTTTAGATTTCAATTAAAAGATGCCTCTTATTGGTAAGTCAAGTAAACTTAAAGGGACACGTACGCAACCTATTATTCTACTATTTCGATTTAATATTAAAGGCAAGCGTTGGTGTTTTGTATCTATCATCTCCCATAATAATGTAGTTTGTTACATTATATTTTATTAGAAAAATCATCATTATAAACAAAATAAAATTATAAGTGCTAAATATCTATTACAATTAAAAGGAAACTTAGCGACCCTTCAAATGTACTTTAGTGGTTATCCAAAAAAACTGTCGAAAATTTGTAAAATTAGTTTATGCAATACATGATCAAAAACTTTCAAATTAAAGTCTGCATTGATGAGACAATATAAGTCTTATACAGGCTATATCATGTTGTATGATAGCCATGTATTTTCCGAGTACTGTGTAATTATAATTAATTAAAAGATTTTATTAAATTATATATATATATATATATATTGATAGCCTTATCAATATTTCCTTTTGTACTTCTACTACTTTTTTGATCATAAAAAAAGCTGTACAAGCCTAATGCGATTTTGATTAATTCTTATTATGCATATAAATGTAGTTCAAATATTCCTGAAATTTGTTTTATCTTATTACTATTTAACTCTTACAGATATAACATTATACAATTTTTATACCTAACAAATAGATAATAATAAACAATTACATTGTAAACATCGAAAATAATTATATAAGTGATATTTAAGTACAAATAAAATAAAATATTTACTTTAAGTGATATTTTGTCAATGTCTTCAAGTATTATAACAACACATTGATCAAAACGGAATATGTTGCAAAGATTTTTTAAACAATTCTAACGATATTTATCGAAAGTCCGTGCAATAAATATAGTCTTTTATAAATGTTTGATTCATCTTATCCTGTGCTTTAACTAATCCCTACTACTATTATTTAAATAATAAAATCAAGATATAACATGCACTCTCTAGTAATGTTTGATTTATGACAATACGCTACTTATGTTGAAGTGATGCTCTTACAAAATTTATTGATCTGGACAATCGCCCGATTTTCCTGCGCTTTAAAACGGCCTAGTTGATAATAACCAGTTTTTGATTACTAATAATAGCATACATAAAGATTTAAGAGTTAAAAATCTATATTTTTCACACGTATCAATAAGTTTTCAGTTTATGTAAATTAGGTGAGATAAACATTAACTAACACCTTTCGGTCATAAATCTGACTAAAAACAGCATTAATTCATTTTATACTTAATATTTTTTTTCAATATTTGTGCACTGTTATAGTCACTTTTTTTAAAGTGTGTTCGTGTTTTCAAAATACTTACATATTTATACATCTATATATTATACAAGGTTGGATGCTAACGTGTTAAAAAGTTACAAGTTAAACTTTTTAATTAACTTATGTTTTTTTTTGTACACTGACTTAACCGGTAACTTACATAAGCCCATCGTTGAGTAACTTTAACTTAATAAGTCACTTGGTTTTTTTTATATGTTTAGTTAGAGTTCAGTAATTATTACTTAACTCGATTTAAGTCAAAAAGTCATTCTTAGTTCATAAAGTAATTAGGAACTTAACTGAGTTTAATCAAGGGACCTATTTTTTAAATTTTACTTGGGGGCCATGATATTTTTTACTTTAAAATAACTTTTGTTTGCTCATCACTTTTTCCTAACTGGGTTGCATAGGGTTGGCCCATCTCGAGATAATATTCTGAGGCCCAAATAGTTCCTTAACCGTTGCTGTATTCTTACTATATAGTTAAATGATAAATAAATATATAAATATATATATATAAGAACCACGTGGATGTATTGATAATGAAGAGAATAATAACATTGACAAACTGACGTGAAATATTTGATAATCATTTTATCAGATATGAAGTCCTGCATGGTGTGACGAAATGGATCATTCAGTTGCATCCTGAACGCTAATGTTTAACTGAACTTTTTACTATTGGTTCCCAGATAGATAACAATAGGGGAAACTAAACAGTGATACACATATTGCCCCTACACTTTTCCCTATGCCAAAATTAGATTACGTTAGGTTGACAGAGCTCATGCAAAAACCTTCCATATTGTATGGTATAATAGTTGGGATAGAGGCTAATGAAATGATGCTGATCATCACCAAATTTGAAATAATCATATACTATAGTATTAAATAAATTTATAATAGTTAATATTTAAATGTACAATAATTTTGTCTTATTTTATGATAGCGTTCATAAAGAAAGACTAATTTTTTTAACGGTGCCATTTCATCTTCAGCCATCTTCATTTAATATATCTTGGTATGTAGTAGTAATCATAAATTATTTCTACTCAATAATGAGCAATTAGATTTTACATTATGAAACAACTTTATGATAATGAATTTTAAAATTTATCATGAAATAAATATATCATTTTCCACTTTTGCATTACCAATTTTGTTTACGCCAAAAACTAGTACGACAAATATTAATAATGAAAAACAAGTTTAATAGTTTACTAAATTTTGGCAAGATCTATTATTAAATATAATTGATAGCAATTCTACGAAAGAATATTAAACGAAAATTTAAAGTCTCATTATATAAAATCACCTATTTGTCGTTAACGGGTTTTGGTTAGAAGCCAAAATTTAAACTCATAAATATATTTTATACGACGTCAGCTAGAATAAAGAGGTTTTAAGAACTGAAAACTAAATAAAATAATGATTAAATTTTAATTTCTAGTTGAAACTTACTTATTTTGAAAGATATATAAAAATGAAAATTTTTTATATAGTCTATATTTCATTTCCTTTGAATGAAAATTCATTAGACTATATTTTATTGTTAATTATTGTGTTATTTCATTTTCTGAAAAAAAAAATTTGTATTATTAATTTATTAGTGTTTATTACAACGTAACTTATTTTATATTTTATAATTTATATTTTATATTTATAGTTAAATTATATCTATTAATATTGATCATTTTTAAAATTATAACTGAAATCATCAATCATAAATTCAGTAAGAGTAACATTCAACATTAAAATTTATTTTTTATGTTATTGAATTAATCATTTAATGGTTATTGCTAGTTAATTAACACTTATTTAGTTATAAAGTTGGTATCACTGAAACCGAACTATACATTTGTTTAAATTAAAATCTAAATAATACAATATTTAATTTAATCAGAAAAAGTTCTTCTGTTGTAATAATAGTATTAACAATACAAAAATTATGTAATCATCTTAATACTTACATTATTATGTCATGTTATTATTAGTCATATTATTGTGTATTGAAAAAAAATATTGTTAACTTTGATCACAATTAAATATTGTGTCAAAAAAATATCTGGAAACGCTAATTATGTTGATCCGATAATTGAATTAGAAAAAGTATAAAAAGACGGGTTAACGAGGTCTTATAAAACGCTGTTATTTTACGGTTAGCCATTGCTCTGGATTCTTGGTTATAGATATGTATATATGTGATAATATTTATTTTCTTTGGTATTATGATAATAAAGAAAACCTTAAAACACTGATAAAAAGTAATCCATAAAAAAAAGTATTAGGTTTAACATCATAAAAGTCTCCACTATTCTAAAATCTCTTCAAACAACTATATATATACTGATATATTGTTTGTTCATTATTTTTATATTTTTGAATTATAACACTACGCGTAGAATATTATTATTTAAAACATCATATCCCAGTAATTTTTCATTCATTCAACTTACAACTAACACATAATTTATAATGAACTTTTATTACATTCAGTACAAAATTCTGTATAAACAGTCAAAGTATCAAAGATTTTTAATGAGAAGTTATAAAAATATCATATTGAAATAATAATTGTAGATCAACAATTCAAAACGTGTTATTGTCATTTTTATCAAAATTGAGCGATATTAAAAATAAGAATCAAATATGTTAATTCTAATTATGTGATATCACGTAATATTTCCCACATCGAAAGAATACAACTGATATTGTCCTAAGCCAGGTTTCCACGACTTGTCGTGTACTTGTCAAGTACACCAATAATTGTATACTTGTCATGTCGTCCAATTATTAACAAGTAGAGCCTTTCCATGACTGGTACACTTGTACAAGTTATAAATAAAAGCCAAGTATACTAATCTTACATTTGAATAAAATGACAAGTACTTAACAAGTACACAAGTGTGCACCAGTGAACTACAAGTGTAAACTCGTCAAGCTATTAATTTCTTTGATTGTTTCACATCTACCGACACAATCCACGAAAAACCTCAAAGTCACCAATAATTGTACAAGTATAATGTTCGGACGGTTTGATAAGTATACACAAATGACAAATCTTTGGCAAGTACACCAGTCGTGGGAATTCGGCATTATGTAAAAGATGTTAAATCCACAATATTTTACAAAGCTACTTCCCATACTAATAGTATGCAAAACCATTTTCTATTTATCATAACATGTTATTTCCAAATTAATCAATATTCCTAATTGCAAATTTTAAACAATTTATTTATTCTGATTATTTGATTGTGCACTGATATATCTGTGTTATTACTTTTTAAATAAACAAATATTCGTATTTTACTAAAATACCATTCCATTAAGTATAGTGATTTCTATTATCGAACTTAGCAATATTATTATTTATGTTGGTTATCATTGTATTATCACAATGAAATTTATTTAAAACTATTTTTTAAAGTGATAGTTTTATATTATGTTTCTAATATTATGATTTCAATTACAAAACTTTATAAGTATAAAACTTTTAGCATATAGGCAATGCAGCTAAAAAGGTAAGTAAAATAAACAACTTAAATGTAAACATTTTCTTTTTAATTTATTTTTGAGATAAATAATACCCTGGTTTCAAAATATCATTTTACTGATACCATCAATAAATTTTGAGTATTAAATATTCTGTAGCGTTTTGAAGTTTGTGAAAATTTAAATTTTCATGTATTATTTTACGGTATTAAACATTGAAATACGTATTGAGAAATGGACAGAAGAAAACGCTATCTTTTCATGATTACTGTGTATACATATGATGATAATGTGTATACATTACAAACTTGGCATTAATACCATGATAAGAAATTAGATAAGGCAATTATTACTTATCACTCTCATTCAAAAGTATAAGTCATTTTCATGGAAAAAGTTACACACCTCCAAATTATAGTAATCACGAAAAGATAGTGATTTCTTCTATCCTTTTCTCAATACGTATTTCAATGTTTAATACCGTAAAATAATACATGAAAATTCAAATTTTCACAAACTTCAAAACGCTACAGAATATTTACTACTCAATATTAATAAGATATTTTTTTACTAAAATTTTTCTTAAATTCTACTCTACAAAATAGCTATCTTAAATTTTTTTTTTTACATTTTATTTAAAATTTAAAAATAAATAATATTTTTAATTAAATGTAAAAAAATTAATTATTGAGATATAGCTATGAACCTAACGTATAACTTTTATTTTTAATAAAATCAGCTAAAAATATTAACTGGATCAAAAGTTATTTAAGTGGTCAGTGAGTGGTGGGCCACCCTGTATATCAACGAACATACTGTTATATAAATGTATATATACTTTGTTACATTTATTTAAAATATTATAGACCTAGAAATCAATTTTAAATCATCGAATTATTTGAATAAGTAATTTAATGTAATCTTTCACAATACCAATTAAAACTATATTTTACAAATATATTTTTACTATAATTAACGATATTCATGATTAATGTGATCAAAATTAAATCGGAGCTGGAATTTATCAAGAAGATATAGGATAAATATGTCAATTAAATATATTTTTTCTAAGATATTAATGTTAATTTTTCTGAAAAATAGTTCCATAACTAGATTTAAAACATTGTAACGCTTAATTGTTTAAGTACCTCAGAGTATTAAAAAAATAAAAAGTTAATATTTTTTGTTTAAATTTACTAAGCAAAGTAATATTATATAAAAACACATTATTTCCAAAATTGCATCAAAACGCTTTATTCTCAAAGTTAATTCAAGTCGAATTATTGTGTCAAAACTTGAAAAAGTAACTTATTAAATAACAAAAAAAA